TCATTCTTCTGTCTGTGGTTTACGTGAGTTACGTATAATTGTATCTGATCCTCACAACATACCTGGGAACTAAGGAAGTACCATCCTTCAAATGTGCTTGGGGAACACATATGCAGGGAAATTCTTCCTTCACTTGTCTAGAAAATAGTCTTTCTCCCCTTTCTTCCTTCAAATTATATTTATTTCCAAACTGGACAGAATGAAAATATTTTGTAAGTGTTAGACCTGTGCTAGATTTAAGTCCATTTTTTTTAGGTTCATAGGAAATCCAGCATTTGGTCATTGCTTCTGAGTGGGCGAGAGCAGTTAGCAAAGCTGTTCCATCAGCAGGGAACTGTTTCTGCCAATGAGGACAGGCCAAGAGCAGAGGAGTCCGTCAAACACAGGAGAGAAGGGGGAGGAGGGAAGAGTCCTAGAGTAGAAGTGAAATCAAATGGACTAGAGGAAGAAGGGAATAAACTACTTGAATATTGAGAAATGGTTTGCAATTCCATTTCAGTATGTAATTTCAGTAAGTTCAACAATTAAATATGAGTAGTCACTACTTTAGAGTACCAGTATAGGCAGAATTAGACTGTCCAGTGATTAACTAAGTGTTGTGAGTGGCTTGATTTCTGGGTCATGCAGTTATACCAGTCTCACTCAAAGGGAAACTTTGACCATACGTGAAATCTGCCTTGTAAAATTTGAATTTTCAAACAGTGGCTAAAACCATTTGTGGTTAAATTTCTTGAGGGTTATTAGATGAGGATGTTTTGATTGTGAATTCTTTCAGGTTATTGTCATAAAAAGTTGAGTACAGTTTGAGGCTATCAGGTCTTTACAGGAAAAAAGCAGTGGCTGTTCTGTCACATGACTGGTTTGCAAATATGATTACTACCACTAATTTAGCATTAACAGAGTGTAGAATGAAAGAAGTTGTTGCTGCTAATGTTAATCATGACAAAATTAAACATTTCACAGAGAAGAGTAAAAAGGAAACATATTTCAGGATAGCAAAGGCAACAACTAGAATGTGAGAATCTTGTCCATCTTGGGCTTTTTTCAGTCCAGGGATGTAGTCACTGCTATATTGTGCTGTGTGCTGTCTCCTCTTTTGTTACCCAGCACTTTGCTTTCACAGGCAGGTGCCAAGAAGAACTAATCCTTCTATAGCATTCTGCTTTGTCAAGATCTGAGTCCTTGTTTCTGTGGCTTTTTCTTTGTCTTAAAAGACAGAGATGTCCTAACTCAGCCAAACAGATATCCTGTAGGACTTTTTTAGCCACTTTTCTTAGCTGTAGGAAATTTGTACAAATTCAAACAATGGCCTGTCCAAATAACTCTTCTGACTGTCATTAAATTTTGGAGTATGTTATTTTTCTTATTCTGCTGAAGATTTTATTGTGTCAGTTAACTTTTCTCAGCACAGTGAACAGTGCAGACTACTTCTTGGGTGAGTTGCTCTTCTAGTATGAAGCAGAAATTTTTCTCCTGCCTCTGCTGGTTTATGCTGATTTTCCATAGCTGACAGGTTAATGAACCTGTTGCTTATTTGTATTTGTTGGGTTTCTGGAAGGTGGGATGGTTGAGTTTATCAACATGTGATTTGTAGAACAGCACAAGAAGAAAACCTTGGTTTTCTAAGGTTCCCAGACCAGGTATGCAGTGACTGTTATCTCAGCCAAGCAGACATCTGTGATTCAGTGGAGGCATGGTTGTTGCAGGAGGAGGGTCCAAAGAGAAGCCATCATTTAAAATCCATGGCCTGAAGGTATGACTGCTTATCTGGGAGGATGGGGAGCAGTATTTCAGTCCTTGTTTTGACCCAGCCAAAACCTGGTGATTATTTCCCCTGTTTCTGGCACCTATGTTCCTTTTCCTGGGCAGATGCCCATTTGCTTGCTTGGCTTTCTAAACCTGAGCTTCATATCTATGAGGAGACTCAAAGGGTAAATTCGTACATTAATCCAGAGTTTCTCTTCCTGATGTCTCATGGAGAAATGAATGTGTTTGGGCATACTTTCTAGGTTTTTGGTTTCATCTTGGAATGTGTTTATAGCCAACAATTTTCCTGTTACAGCGTCTCCTTTTGGCTGGCTTCCTTTTTTGTCCAGTAGTTTTTCACTGACCTGACTTAGGAGAAAGGTATTCATAGCTATTTATGGACTTACTTATTTCCCCTCTAATGTTCTATTTTGTGCTAGGTCCTTGTTCTGAAGGAAAGGCTTCCTTGCTTGTTAGTCCCCTTGCAGATGAAGGGAAAAAACTGCAGCTCCCTTATGGGAGAGGTTACAGGGCATTTCTTAAGTCTCAGTAGTGTCCTTCATTTTCTGCCAGTCTTGCTTTAGCCTGATTAGCTGCCACATAGATTAGAGCAGGAGGCCAGGAAGGAAACAGAATGGTTGCTTCAAAGCCTTGTGCACTGCAGTGGTTTTAAGGGAGTGCAGACAACTGATGCTGTGGATTCTGATGTCCTAGAGCCAGGATTGGGCCCTTAAGGTCATACATTTTCTGCAAATTGACCCAGCCATCAAACTAAGTGACTGCTTTTTCTGTTGCCTAATGCAAAGTGGAAACTACAACAGAAGATAATTCAGTAGAGCTGGTGAGTCCCTATAAGCACAACTCGTGAATCTGTCATCAATTGCTGCATAAGAAGCCAAAGTTAGCTGAAGCATTGTTCTTTTACGTAACACAGGGAAAATGGCTCTGGTCCAGGCAATCCAGAAGAGGAGCCAGACCATCCTGTGATGTTGGCCTGATTAGCTGTAAATAATCCTGGCTCAACTCCCCTGTTCTGTATGTGCTGTTTTTGGTGAGAGGAGGGGGAAGGCTGTGTGTTTCCTAGGTACTGGGATAGCTCTGTGTTTATGAACTAGACTACACATGCTGTGATCCGTGCAAGAACTGCTCTTAGTACATGCACAGAACCAAGTGTGGGGGCAGAGAGTGGTTTGTGAATGCTTGTACAGAAGTGTCTGGATAATTAAATCAGCCATTAGGTAGGAGCATGTAAATCCTTGAAGATGTTTTCTGTGGGAAATACATGATAATCATCTCCTCAGGCACCCAAAAGAGGCAAGGTTAGATTCTGATGTCTGCCTAAATTGCACATCAGGAATTTAGGTGCTGGTTTTGAGTCTCATCAGGAATAATTTGTTCCATGTCACAAGGATTTAAACCTAGTCTTACTGCCAGGGTAGCACCATCATCACTTGGCCATCTTTACTAGCTCATCTGTCTCCACTGACAAGCTGGCACAGTACAGTGAGGGCTCTTTCAGTCCCACAGGAGCAAATGCCAAGTAGCAGGGGAGGGCAGGAGTGGAGACAGACCCAAGTCACTGGGATATTCCAGGATAGCAGGATTACTCTGTTTCAGGTGCTCTCATGGCAGCATGCTAAGCCTTGCATATTAGTTAACCTTTCCCATAGCTGCTGTATGTGAAAGGTCTTTGATCTATGAATGAGCCCAACACATGGTGCTTGTTCACTGTATGTTAACAGCAGAGGTATTATTTTTAGCTCCCAAATTCTTTTTCTTCACTATTAGAGCTGAAATACCTTTCATCCTTAAGGCAGGCAACTGTTCACAAGAGTGTATTGGGGACAATGTGCTACATGAAGCTGACACTTCCATTGGGAACAATTTTTTTCAGAATGGATAAATGGCTCTTTAAATAGCCATTACAAAATCTAAACAAAGTAGTCATGTTTTATAAAGTTCTAAAGAGAACTGTTGTCTTTGGAACATGTAATTTGCAGATCTCACTGCAGTAATCCTTGATTTAGAACAATTACAGCACTAAGTGCTTGCCTTTTTTCCCCTTTAAAAAACAAAACCAAACCCCAAACCAAAAGCCAGACAGGTTTCCAGCAAAGGCTGGGATAATTGAATGGAAACATAGCCAAGTCTTGCAAAACTCCAGTATACGGTTGCTATTCTCTCAAGAGATATTTTCTCCTGCCATCTGAGAGCCTGGTCACTTGTTTTTCTTGTTTTTCTTTTTTTTTTTCTAGAAATAAATATTGCAAGAACTAATAGTCTGGTTACAGCCTTAAAACTGGGCATGTGTGCAGTGCACACTGGTTTAAGAGGAAGTTGTTTTATAACATTTTTAATTATGAAATTTCTTATGCAACCGAGTTAAAGGGTCATTTATAAACAATCCAATTCCAAAGCTTCCTTAGCAGTAACTGACCTACGTAATTTCTTGTAGCTTAAGCTTGACTCAGTCCATTCTCACACCAAACAAGATTTGAGAGCTGGAATATAAAGAATGCTGATTCAATGTACAGTTCATAATATTTCTTTTCCACTCACAAATAGGTGCAGTAGTTCCATCTATGGCTCCAGTGTCTGTTTTTTTCTTACATCCCTTAGTAGAAGTGAGGCAGCTGTGCTGCTTGCTATGGCAGGAACATCTCCCAGGCACCTCTGGCAGTAGGCAGGCCATGCTGACTGTGGATCTCAGACCATGAAACCAGGCCTTGCACAGCTGATTCTGCAGCCAGCTTCAGTCCCTGGCTGTGGGATAATTTATACAGCTACAAAAAATTTAACTGTAGGCCTCTACCTCTTGTGTGGGCATGGAGGGCATCCAGAAAGAAGCAAATTCATATTTGTAATCACCAGCTTAAAACCACTGCTCCTTCCTTAGGATTTTGCTAGAAAAATGATGATGGAGGGATCCTTAATACTTCCACTTAAGCCAAAGCTACCTGAGCAGCACAAGGGACCATTGACCCTCCCCATTTCTTATTCATGGTATGGAACTGAGACTTCACTTTACAAAGAAAAAGTCATTTTCCAAAATCACTTCAGGTGAGCAAACAGCCAAACAGATACATTGTACTTCCTACAACAGAAGACTGAGCCAAAAGTCTTCAGCCTCACAAGTGACTGTGCCTTCCTAAGTTTGCTTCTGTCATCTTTGAGGGATTCTAGCAAAACCCATTCTTGGTTTGGTTTTTTTTTTTTTTAAAGCCAATTTTTAAAGACAGTTAACTTTCATTTTATTACAAAGCTTTTATTAAAAAACAAATGCTCAGCACATTAACTCAAACTGGAATGACAAAAAAAATTGGTTGACAGTATTTTTGGCAAAGGCTGTGCCTTACTATTTTAAAAAATGGGTACATCAATGCTCATTTCAACAACTGGCATAAAATCCCACTAACAGGCTAACAAAAACAGATACAAATACAGAACAATTGAAGTAATAATTCAAGTGCTGGGCTTTTTACAAGGAGAAGGGGAATGGGTGAGAAGGAGAACTCACTGCAGTCAGATTTGCTGGATGTATTGCTTATGTTTACAGAGTAGATGATGCAAGACTAACATGTCTACTGACCAGCTGACTGTTGTTACATTTATTTAGTTCTATAGGACACTGTATTATATAGACTGAGAGGCCACTATTTGTTACAAATAGTTTAACAAAACAGCCACCTTTTTTCCATACAGATTTTTCCTCTGGCAGAAAAAAAAAAAAAAGAAACTCCTTTTATTTAAAAAGTATTTCAGATTTCTGACACTTGTTTAAGCTCATACCTAGTAAAATATACACCAAAGAAATTACAAACTAAAAGTTAAAATATAAAAGCATTCAAGTTTCTTAAAAAAAGCTAAAACCAAAATTGATCCTGTCGCACCATTAAATAAAAAGAAGGTTGAGCGCGTCATCCTGGTCCAGGCAAATTCCATCCCTCGATGTGCTGTGTGGGGCAGCTGTGGTCTACATAATTCTGCTGGCTGAAGCAGGCACAGACAGCCATGCTACTGTGTTTGCTGACTCAATATGGACACAGATGAGACGGGGGCTTAAGAGTGCAAGGCAGAGGTGAAGACAAAAGCTGCTCTGCTGACCCAGGAGCTCATTTGCTCTATTTATATCGGGGCTGGACCTCGTGATAGTGAAGGATTTTGGCAGTGATTGTCTTTATGATTCAGTGTCTCTAGCAGTGACATCAGGGTGAATGACATCCTAGACAGACTCCTTGGGGGTGGTCTGTGTGGATGAAGGACACACCTAGGGTTTAACAAGCTTCCATCTCCAGAAGGGGTCCTGGTGTCGCCGCCTTTCCTTTGCAAGTTGAGAAAGCATTTCTTTTCCCACCTACAGGGAAGGGGGGAGAAAAAAGAGAGAGAGAGTGTGATAAAGACTATCTGAAGCCTTTTAAAAAAAAATTCTTCAAACAAGCTGGTGATGGGTCACTGCAACTCTTACAGCTCTACTAGTGGAATGTGCATTACAATGTCAAAGTTAAATGCAGAATTTATTACTACTTGCTTTTGCTTGAAGTTTGCAACTATATTTATGGAAAGTACTTTGCATTGCAAAGAGATACCAACTAGAAAGGTGGGGTTTTAAACATCCAGCATATTACAAAATTTCTTCCCTTTAGTAGTGGATTTCATTTATCTACAACATTTGACCCAGATACCATTACAAAATTAGACATCCTCGGGCTTTAGTACTGCAGTGCAGTGGTTGAGGTCAATTAAACCTCTATTTCAGAGCCTCAAGCTCTGCTCCCTGCAGACATGAAAAAATGCTGTCTTCTGCAAGCAGTTTGGTAGAGGAATGTGGTGGATGAGGCTTGTGTGAACACTGATTCTACCATCCATCCTCATGACTGGGGAGGATTTCTTCTGCTCTTCAGTGGGGCAGGGAACATCTTCCAGCTGTGTAAGAACCATGGATCTCCTCCCTAGCAGTAAAGTTCACTAGATCTTGGAAGGATTTATAGTCTTAGAGCATGTCAAATGGCCCACAGTACAGGCCTAATAGGAATTGCTCATCCAGAGGGGAACAGCCTAGGTCTCTGGGTTACATCAGCTGATTTATGAAATTGCCAACTCAACTCAACCCTTGCCATTCTGATGCAGACAAGTGGGTTACAACAGGGTCCCCACCCAAAATCTCTCTAATGAGTCGGACATTTTTCCATACATGGACACATAGTCTCCAGTAACTGTTTGGGGATTACTGGTATCTCAGAAAAATCAACATTAACCTCTAGGTCTCCATGTACTACTCAATTGCCTAACAAATAGAAGGTTCAATGAGCAAAGCTTTTGAGAGTGATCAAAATTAGCACAAGAATGCAGTTCCGTGGAGAAGATAAACGAATTTTCACCAAAAGAAACACAAAATGCTTAGTCACATAAAGATACGCTGCCAGCACCTTGAGTCACGCATGGCAAGACAGAACAAGTTTATGAAGAAATGGTTTAAACCACAAGTCAAACTTCTTTTAGACTAATCATGATAGTTAGATTGCTTAAGCCTGCAAGAGCCACAAGCTGAATTAATCAGCAAATTTTACATTACATTTCAGCAGTATTTAAACCAGGGCCATTTAGAACTAAGCTCCCACCTCCCATGTGCTGCAGCTTCCATGTAAACCATCAAAGTGTCACTCATAGTGGCTGAGTAGTGTGGCAGCTCCTGAGTAAGGAGTTACACTGCCTCATGTAGTCCAGGGTAGACTGCTGCAGCTTCCATGTAAACCATCGCCATACAAAGTGTCACTCATAGTGGCTGAGTAGTGTGGCAGCTCCTGAGTAAGGAGTTACACTGCCTCATGTAGTCCAGGGTAGAAAATCTAAAAGATTTTGTACCCTTTGATTTTAATCAGCATAAGCTGAGGTTCCAAAATCTTATTAAACAAGTTGACTCCTTATCAGAGGTCACCCATGTGGCTGTTGTTACAGCAGAAAGGAAAGCTGAGGACACCTAAGTTTAGCTGCAGACTAAGGTAGAAGAGACCAGCATGAATTGATAGCAAACTGCTCTGTGTAGCTTAAATTTGATGCAGACTTCCTGGTTGCCCACATAGTGCCATCCCTGATACATCAGGAATAACTTACTCCTGCTGCTGGTAGCCACAGAAGGACATTTAAAGCCACTGAGGCCTCTTAAACAGCACAGCTAAAAGTCCACTGGCAAACCAGCAGTTTCAACAGAGGTGGCCTGTATTGACTAATTCAATTCCTCTTTCCTCATAAAACCAGCCCATGTCCCAACTAAAAAAAGCCTCCTGAGCTTCCTGCCTTTTTTAAATTTTTTATAAAGTAGTGCAGTGCTCCGTAACACGTGCGGATCAAAGAGCTACGAAGGGCTCTACCTTTCCAAGGAGCACGAAAGAGAGGCCAAGCAAACAGCAGAGCAACACTGGGGAGAGCACCCTGCAGCTTTATATTTATTTTGTGCCTTTTCATCCCAGATTTTCAAAGGTTTGGTCCAGGTTGCTCTTCCTGGGAAGGTTTTCCTCTCAGTCTTACATGAAAACATTCAGTTTCCTGTTGAGGAATGGCCTTGAGGCGCCAGGCCAGTAGCTCACAGCAGTCTGATACAAGCGCTGTGATTCAGAGCTACTCCCCATTAGCAGCCAGGAATGTCTACTTCACTGAAGGAAATGAAATGCTCTTCTGTTGAGATGGTTCCCTGCCTCCTCCCCCCTTCCCTTACCAGCAAGCTGTCTTTGAAGTCAGGAGGTTAAAATAACGACCGTGGCCTTGCTCTGGCCCTCAGCTTTTCCCAACAGCAGCCATTGCTTCTTTCTCAATCCAGAGGCAGCTTTTGCAGCCCCTGCCTCCTTTCCATAGCTCCTAACTATGCCCAGATCTTCTAGAGAGGCTGCAGACACCACAGTGATTCTGGAAGGGGACAGGCACAGGGAAGCCCCACGTATTTTTATTTCCAAGCAGCACAGCAAATTATAGAGCAGCTATCCTGAAAACAGCATCTAGAACCCAGCCTTTCTCCTGCTGCACATTAAGGCTACACGCTGGAAATAGCTTCTACTGCTGATAAACTGAATAATACCTAAAAAATACAAGTGATGATGGTGTTGCCTTACAGATATAAAACAGGTCAAATCAGGATTCTTTTCAAGAAACCACAGGCATGTGCTAAGGAGACTGAAGACTTCCCACATCTAAGGCTTCACTGGGGGGCTGCAGCTGAAGTCTCGCCAGGCGAGGCATGCCCTAGCAAAGCCCAATCCACAAGTGAAGTCGGCACAAATCAAAGACTGCAATTACAGCTCCCTGGCTGTGGTTAGGCTTCAAAGAAAGTGCTGCAAGTCACATTTTACATATGTGAAGTCTTGAGCCTGAGCCACAATAGGAGGCACTGTCTGTGCCATTTGCAGTGTACATCTGACTGCAGGAGGAAAGGGGAAAAAGAAAAAGAAAACAACACCTCGAGTAAGAAACAGACATAAGATTAAAGAATAATGAAGTGCAAAAAGAAAAGCTTTACTATCGAGTGATAAAACTAATTCAGGAACTGCTACAGTAAAACTAAATTCTCCTAGCAAGCCTGGGCTCAGTGGCTGAGGCGATCACAAGGGGATCTGAAGTCCTCCCCATGTTTCAGAATGAGATAGATGAAGGGTGGGTCTGCAAAGGTCTTGTTCTTCCCTTCTGGTCTTTTAACTTTTCTAGAACAAGGGAGAGAATTATGCAGCTTCATCCAGGTCACGCTAATCAGAGAAAGTTACTGAAGAAAGTCAGGAATGTCCGGGTCAGTACAGGAATAAGTACTGAGTAAAAGAGATACCTAATCCTTCACAGAGGGCAAGGGATATTAAACATTTTAAATTAGGTACTTTTTTCCTACACCTTTCCCTATCACATTGTTTGGATACAGTTTTGAGAGACAAGACTACATATAACAGGCAGTTACATGTATTTTTTTTTAAAAAGAAAAAAGTTCATATCCAAACCAGTCTTTTAATCCAGTACTGCAAACGACATGGCAAATTCAGGGACTCAAAAGCTGAAACTATAATTTTCTTTGTAAGTCCCAAACGAACACGTTCAACTTACTGCCAACCATGGTTTATTCAATAATCCAGAAATCCAGCTATGCAAAAGCAGGTCATTATTTATCAGGGTGGTTCAGGGTGTTTGTGAAGTCCCTCTGTATTTTCTTTAACAGCAGAGTTGGAAAGGGTTTCAGGCGCAAGCAGATAGATGCCGGCGCTGCAGTCTGCTGCTCTTCCTGCCCAGCTGTGCCATGCTTTGTGGGTTTAGCCCAAACCAGATCCTTGAGATGTTCAGGGCAAACACAAACAAACACTCCACAACCCTTGTTGTTTCTAAACAAAAAAAAGCAGCTCCCAACAAAACCCCAGTCATTTAAGTAATCTAATTTGGTGCAGGGTCCCACAAGCTGTTACAAAACATGGATGGAGAGACCTACGGGAGACAGGAAAAAGCCCTCTCTGTAAGAGCTGGATACCAGCAGGCAGCAGAGGAAACTTTTTAAGCTGCCTTTGTATCCAAAGAAATGACATAAAACTGTAACAGATGCTGCCATGTTGAAACTATGTTAGTATGAAGTGTTTCTTGGTCTGCCTAACCCTCCATCCCCCATGCTACTTTTAACCTCAGTCCATTGCTGCTAACTGTGAATGGAAACTCCAACAGCAAATTATTCACTGCTGTTTTAAATGCCCTGAATTAACTGCCCCTGAAAATACCTCTCCATTAGCTACAGGTGCAGCCTGGAGTCCTAACTTCTGTCCTCTTAGTTTGACCTCAGCTAGATGCATTAAGTGAGCAGCAGGAATATTCCTCCCCCAGCCTTCCCAAGCCAGAGACCTCTTCCAGAGCAGATTAGTTTCAGCACAGAAAACACCCAGGTATTTTAGGGCTCCCATTTTGTGCAGCTGATGGCAATGATGCCAAGCAGGTGTGGCTCTTATCAAAGGCCCCCAGTGTAGGCAGCACAAAACTACAAGCTCTATCACTTAGCTAGAATCTTTTAAATTATCTTACTGGAAGACCCAAGACATGTTTTTCCTGTTGGGTGTGGGAGGGGAGAGAGGCTCCATGTTTATAATAAAAACCAGCTTGCCTCTAGACAGCTGTCTCTAGCAGCTTCTTAAAGAGGAACAGTATCCTAAAGGCCAAGAAGAGGGAGGAAGAAACAGGTTTGTCTCCTTTCTGTATCTTTATGGCATATAATAAATATTCAGGAGACTATTTTTTAAATGATTTGCTTTCTAGACTGAGAGCTAGGAGAACTGAAACTGCTACTTCAGTTTTCAGCTGCTGTAACGGAGAAGAACGTGAGGTATTGGTAAAGCGGTAAGTGAAGAT